AAGTAACTAATATATGCAACTAATATGAGAATGATAAAATACATAAAGCAAAAGCTTAAAGAATTAAAGAGACAAATAGATAAATCAACAGTAATTATTTGAATAATTTGAAAACTCTAGTATTTAAAAACAGGACAATACTTTGAATAAACAGTTGAAGGAGGAATGGGGGTAGTTGGCTTGTCTGCTTAGCATGCCTGTGGCCCTGGGTTAAATCCTGAACACCCCCTCCCCAAAGGTCAAATGAACTAGAACATCAGGTTGTAGAAGATTTAACACTTTGAACTAAGCAGACGTGCATAGATACAGCCTGGTCTTCAGTGATGGAACTCTGTCCAACCTTTAAATTGTTCTTTTCGGCTGAGAAGTAGAGAAGACTTCTTCTCGTGTCACTTGACCCCAGCATCATTCTGATACCACTGCTAGACAAAGATAACAAGAAAGGAAAATTTAAGATTCATATTACTTAGGAATAGAGTTAAAATCTCAACGAAATATTAGTAAACCAAGTCCAGCAGCGTACGAAAAGGATTATCTTAAGGATGCAAGGTTTGTTCATCCAAGGAGACAACATAACCTATTAAAAAAAAATCCAGTAACAAGATATTTATAAAATAAAACTTGGTGGGACAAGGGTAACCAAGTATTTGTCTAAAGAAATGGAAAAAAAAAAGTTCTATATTTTTGAGACAAGGTCTCACTGTGTATCTTTGGGTGGTCTAGAACTTGTTATGTAGATGAGACTGGCCTCTGGCTGACAGATTTCCCCTGTCTCTGCTTCCTGGATGATAGGCTAAAGGTGTGTACCACCACACCCAGTTAAAAGCCATTTTTTTGGACAAAATTCAGTAGTCTTTCCTAATTAAAAGTATTCAATGAACTGGGAAATGAACTTCCTCCACCTAAGAGGTCATCTTCTTGGATGGAGGTCTACTTTCATTACAGGTTCAACATTTTACTAGAAATTCTAGCCAGTCAAGAAAAAGAAATAACAAAATACTCACTTTGAAAGAAAAACTAAGTGGTGGTGGTGGTGCACTCCTTTAGTCCTGGCACTTAGGAGGCAGAGGCAGTGGAAATACCTGCTGATTTTTCAGAAATTGAGGCCAGCCTGGTCTACAGAGTGAGTGCCAGGACAGCCAGAGCTACACAGTGAAACCCTGTCTAGAAAAACCAACCATCCAATCGACAAACAAAACAATGAAGTAAAGCTAGTTGACTTTAGATTATATATTTTTATATTTATATAGAAAATCTTCAGCAATATTTATATGCATGGAAATAAATACTCCCCAAATTGAAAAATCTTCAACAATAATTATATTAATGGAAGTAAACATCCCCCCAAAATTATTATGACTAATAATTTCAGAAGGTTTGCATACCAGAATGTCATTATTTTAAAAATCACGTTCTCTTTGTTTGTTTGCTTAGAGCATAGGGTTTTGCTATGTAGTGTAGGCTGACCTTGAACGATTGATCCTCCTGCCTCAGCCTTGCCAAATGCTGGGATTACATCGTCATGCCCAAGTATATTTGTATTTCTGTATTGCTAACAATGAACAAATTGAAACTGAAGTTAAGGAAAGAAAATCCATGTTTTTCCATAGCGTCAATGCGAATCAAATGATCTAGGAATAAAAATATCAAACAAAGAAGGGAAAGATGTGTCCTGAAAACTGAAACATTGTTGAAACAAAATAAAGATTCCAATAAGTGGAAATACATGCCAGGTTAGTGGGTGAAAGACTTAAATTGTTAAGGTGGAAATACTCCAGACATTAATTTACATATTCAGTGAAGAATCCATCATAGTTCTACCTGCTGATTTCTCAGAAATTCTTTAAGTTCATATAGAAATAGAAGAGACCCAAAATAAACAATTTTTTTTAAAATATTGAAGACTAATTTTTTTAATTCCAAAATTTAATGCAAATATCCAGCCATTGGAGGGGTGTGATATTGGGTCAGGAGAGACATAGATTAATGAAATGGCCGTGAGAGTCCAGAAGTCAGCATGGTTGATTGTAATCAGGATTAAGAATTCTCAGATCATTCAGCTGAGAAAGAAATCTCTTAATGCTGTTGGGCACAATTAGATCTACACATGTAATAAATTAGCCTGCACTCCTCTGCTTACCGTAGCAGAAATTGAATGGTCCAAAGACCGAAATGTGAGAGCTCAAGCTACATCTCTCAAAAAAAAAAAAAACCCATAGATGTGTGTTTTTCTCTCCTTGCATTAGGCATCATTTACTTTAGTGTGCCATTAAAACAAAAGAAAACATAATTTGAGTTTCATCAAAACTGAAAACTTTTTTCAACTATCAGGATTATAAAATGATACTTATATAATGAGAAAAATGTATTTGACAGATAAGCTATATCCAAAATATAAAAAGAACTTATAATTTGGTAATAAAATGATCAAAATTTCAACTTAAAATGGTCAACAGATTAAACATTTTTCTAAGGAAACAGCATTCCTCATTAGATTAGAGCTATAGTGAGATGTCTTTTCACATTCCTTAGGATGACATTTTTCTCTATTTTTAATTTTTATGTGTATGGGTGTTCAGCTTGTGTGTATCTCTGTGCATCATGTAAATGCAGTGCCTTCTTTCAGAAGAAGGCATTGGATTCCCTGGATTAGAGTTATAATTGGTTGTGAGCCGCCATGCAAATGCTGGGAATTGAACCCAGGTCTTCTGAGAAAGCAGCCAATGCTCTTAACTCTTGAGCCATCTCTCCAGCCCCAAATGACTACAGTTTTGTTTTGTGTTTAAAGACAAGTGTTGCTGAGCATGTGGAGAAATTGGAACCCTTGTATAGCTGGTAGGATTACAAAATGGTACAGCTACTTTGAAAAGTAAAGGCCAGGCCGGGCAGTGGTAGCGCACGCCTTTAATCCCATCACTCAGGAGACAGAGCCAAGTGGATCTCTGTGAGTTCAAGGCCAGCCTGGTCTACAGAGTGAGGTCCAGGACAGGTACCAAAATTACACAGAGAAACCCTGTCTCGGAAAAAGAAAAAAAAGAAAAAAAAAAAAAGAAAATGAAAGGCCAGGCATGGTGACATACACTTAGAATCCTATCACTTAGGAGGCAGAGGCAAGAAGATTGGCAAGTGAGCTAGGAGCTTAAGGTAAGAACCTGTTTCAAGAAATCAACCCCCCAAAATTATCCATTCCTCAAAATAGTGCACACCACGTGAGTCATCAGTTCTATTTCTAGACTTACACTCAAGAGAATTGAAAATATGTTCAATGTAATTATTGTTTGGATTAGTAGAAATGGCCCAATGTCTGTCAGCAGACAAATGGGCAAGCAAGTTGTAAAATGTAGTTTATTATATAAAATAGTAGGCATTGATTTATGATGAACCCTGAAAATACTGGTGTGTGGAGAGAAGCCACACACAAGAGAACATGTTTGTTGTTAGGAGCTTCTGAATGGGGATTGTGGATGTCTGCTTGGCATACATGATTTTCTATTGTTGATAAGAATGTTCTAGAATTAAGATAGTGGTGATGATTGTACAACCGTTTAATGAATCCACCAAGTTAATAGGGTGAAATCCGTCATATATAACGAATGTTTTCATAAAAAAAAATGTTATCAGGGCTGGAAAAGATGGCTCAGTGGTTGAAAGTACTGGCTGCTCTTCTGGAGGACCCAGGTTCAATTCCCAGCACCCACATGGCAGCTCACAACTGTTTGTCATTCCAATTGCAGGGGATCTGACACCCTCACGCAGATAATACATGTAGGCAGAACATCAATGCACATAAAATAAAAATAAATAAATAATTAAAAGAAATAACTGTCAGCTGGACTTGGTGGTACATTCCTTTAATCCCAGGATTCAGGAGGCAGAGGCGGGCGGATCTCCATGACTTTGAAGCAGACTTGGTCTACAAAGTGAGTTCCAGGGCAGCCAGGGCTGTTACACAGAGAAACCCTGTCTCGAAAAACCAAACCAAAACAAACTAAGATGTCATCAGTATAAGTGATGTTTATGGTCATGGCATTGCTATGAACAGTCTATCTAGAGTGACTTGAAAGATACTTGTACAGATACACTTAGTAGGAGTGTATATTCATTATTTTAAATTTCCTGGTTTGGTTTTGAGATAAATTCTCACCATATAGTCCATGCTACCCTCAAACTTGAGATCCTCCTGCTTCATCTTCTAGTGTGCTGAAGTTCAGCCATGCATTGGCACACCTGTATATATATTTAACATATAAATTAAAATAACTATTTTCTCCTGTGGGATTACTTTCTTGCTTCTAATAGTTTTTTTTTTTTTTTTTTTTTTTTGAGGCAGGCTCTCACTGTGTAGCTCTGGCTGCCCTAGATCACACTACATAGACCAGTCTGGCCTGAACTTAACAGACATCTTCCTGCCTCTGCCTTACAAGTGCTGGGATTAAAGATATGAACCACCCTGGCTTTTTTTCTAAAATTTTTAAAAGTTAGATTTATTGTAACCTAAGAATATATAGAGTAAATTATTTTACCAGTAAATTGTTTTATCAATCTCATTTAAACCTGTACTTTAGGGAATGGCAAGGTATCTCAGAGGTTAAAAATGCTTGACACAGACTTGACTCCCTGGTGGGAAGAGACAGCCGACAGCTGTAAGGTGTCCTCTGGCCTTCACACCTGTCCTGTGCCCCCCTACACACACAAATAAATAAGTGAAGCTATAAAATAAACTTGTACTTCAAAGTACAGTGGTGATGGACATTTAGAAAGGGAAGTTGTTCATACTGATTTTCTGTTTACTTAATATAATTGCAAATACCAAAAATTGTCTTGAGCATTGGAATAGGTTTTTAAAATACAATGGTATACTACTATTTGAGCTTTTTCATGGTAATTTCTAGTATATGTGTAATTTGTAATATGTTGGTAAATATCTGTAGAGGGTTGGAGGTAGTTTTATATGTATAAATAACTGCATATCATTTTATCCGGGGTTTTTTTCCCCCCAGGTCAAGCAAATAAAGTAGCCAAAGAAGCCGCCAACCGATGGACTGGTAGGTTCTGCAGTGGCACCAGTGGGTGGTAACCAAGGCTCCACGGTGATGGACAGTTCAGTGCTCACACAGCTTCCGAATCATCTTTACGAAAGTGCATTTCTCCGAAGCCAGGAGTAGCTCCCAGTCTAACTTTTCCTAAGCCAGGTTCTGATCACTGAACTCACATATCTAAGGGTGTGCTTGAAGCTCCATGTAGTTGTGCTTCTCTTTGGTACTGGGGATTGAACACAAGGCTTCACACATGCCAGGAGAGTGCCCTCCCGGTGATAAGTATCTGCAGCCTGCAGTTTCCTGTATTCGGGCTTATAATCCCTTTGGGCGTCCACGGTCTCCTGCAGGATGTCTTCTCGAGACAAGAACAGCTAAGGTGCTTTGAGGGCTGTCTGCTGCTCTCCTGTAGTGAGGGTGGTGTGTTCTCTCTCCCCTTACCCTGTGGGAGTTTCAAGGTAGATGTGATCCTTGTTCCTCAGGTTGAAGCGGAGCCAAGCGCGTTGCGCTACCGCAATTAGGCCTGGCTTTGCGATTCTTCTCCGTGAGCCTGCTTTCTTTTTCCGATCTACACCACAAAGATAGTCTAAGAAGTGTGAGTTAGTGGGGCACTGTGGCACCAGGTGTGCTGGCACAGGCCTACAAGCTTAGCATTTGGGAGGCTGCGGCAGGGGACCATGCGTGAGGTCAGCTTGGGGTGCTTTGTGAGATTGCATCCTGTGCCAAGCCGGCTCTCTCACAATGCATTATGTATGTCCTAAGTTTAGGAACAAGCTAGTAATGGTTGTTGTGATTTCTATGCAAGTATGATTAATAATACTAAACCTGCCAGAGAATAGCTCTGAGGTTTCCCAGTCGTTAGTAATAAAATGGTGGTGACTGAGTTTCTCCACCTCGTGAGAGGCTGACCCCTCCCGGTGTTTGTCTGCTCCCCTGGGAGGAGGTATGTGTAGGGCTGAAGCCGAGTGGGGAGAACTTAGGGGACTGTGGAGTCTCGGGTTAGCCTCTGGGAGAGCAGGCATGTGTGTTAGGCTTCCTGCCGCTGGGCCAGGCCTACATTTCACAGAAAACTTAAACCTCATTTTCCCCTAATCCATTTTACAATAAAATAAGTAGAAAATATTAATGAAATTCCCCTTGGGCTCCTATAAAACTGTTATTTATTTATTTCATTTATTATAATTTGTTTCCTAAACAAAATACTGCTTTAATAGAGAAAACGAGAGAAAAGAGCAGACACTGTGTCAGTGAAGGATAAGAAAGTGAGAAATACAGGGGGAGGTGTGGTAACACGTGTCTGGAGTCCCACCACTCAGGAGCTGGAGGCAGGAAAAGAGTTGAAGGCCAGTCTTGGCGAGGTAGAGTTTAAGACTAACCTAGGCCACATCAGACCTTATCTCCCCCAAGCGCTAACAGTAACAGTGATAACAAATGTGATATTATATAGGTTTGAGAAGTACAAGATTCTGAGTGTGAAAATGAAGCAAGTGTCCGTATGGACTGAAGATAAGGTGGTCGGGGGCCGAGATGAGTCGGGGAGTAAAGCCACCAAACCGAGGACCTAAGTTAGATGCACGTGGGGAGGTGAGGCCTGACTCTGACCTCACCCGTGCTCCGTGACACACACCTGCTCGGCCTCCCGCCACCACAACGCGTTCATGATTTCCCTCCAGTCGTTGGCAGGGAAGCTACACGTGAGCAGTAGGAACAACAGGATGTGGGGCAGAAGGAAGCCACTGTGAGTGCCTCTGAGTCTGCTCCGTGACCCTTTGACCCTCTCTGAGCTTGTTCCTCCTCGGTTCTCTGGGAGTAATGCCTGCCTCACGCTTTGAGGGGACTAAATAGGAGTCTGAAAGCTCTTCAGCATGGTATTTTAGACATTTACACCCCTTTCTCTGGCTCCCCAGTTCACTGTAAATTCTGGTTGTTAAGTAAGCAACTATAAGTTGTTTTCCAATTCATCATAAACTTCCAAAATTATCATAGAAAAACTGTTGTAAGAAATTTTTCTCCCTTTGTGGTTAGCTGCAAAACAAAACAAAAAACAAAAAATCCTGAGAGTTCGAAAAGCCCGTGGAAGGGTTGTTTTTATGATAACAGAATTAGCTGTTCAGAACTGTCTTTCCTGGACTCGGCATGTAGCTCAGTTAGCAGGCTGCTTAGCATGCACAAAGTAGGGTTGATTCTCAGCACCAAATCAAACTGCATGGCAGTGAATAGTCCAACCTCAGCATCTGAGATAGAGGCAGAAGGGACAGAAATTCAAGGCCATCTTATACCATACATCCCTTCCCAGTCAACCTGGGCTAATGAGACTCTACTTGGAAAATATTCCCACTTAAGGCTCCAGCTAGCTCTTTTCACATAAGCATGTGTTAAAAAAAAATGAAGATAGATAAAGTGAGTTACACCTCAGAAAACCTCCCTGGGTTCAAAACAATAAAAAAGACCAGGGTTATTTATAGCAAAAAAAAAAAAAAAAATAGATGTTAGCTAAAGTCTGGTTTATTTTTACCTAACAATGTCCTTGAAATGTTTCTAGAACCATGAATCTCCAGATTGGAGAGATGGCTCAGTAGTTAAGAGTACTGCTCTTGTAGAAGACCCAGGTTTAGTTCCCAGCACTTGCGTGGAGGCTCAGGACCCCTGTGATGCCAGTTCCAAAGTATCCAGCACACTTGCCTGCCTCCAAAGGCTCCTGCATGCATGTGGTCTAAATAAATTCATGCAGGCACATGCACATACACATAAAAATAAATACATTTTGGTTTTTTTAATTTTGTTTTTTAGACAGTTTCTCTGTATAGCCCTGGCTGTCCTAGAACTCACTCTGAGACCAGGCTGGCCTTGAACTCAGAGATCTGCCTGTCTCTGCCTCCTGAGTGCTGGGATTAAAGATGTCCACCACCACCACCACCTGGCTGAAAATGGTTTTTCAAAAATACAATATAATCTGATTATGCTCTCCCCAACAACTCCTCTCAGGTCCTCCTTATTTCCCCACCCACCCAAATCCACTCTTTCTTCCTCTCTCTCATTAGGATACATAGAGGTATCTAGAAAATAATAATAAAACAAAATTAAGTAAAATAGATCAGAACAGGACAAAACAGACAAGCAGTAGAAGAGCCAAAGAAAATGTTCAAACACAAAGACAGACACATTTGCATACACAGAAATCCCACAAAAACAAAACCTGAAACCAAAATATGTAACATTTTTAAAAAGAATAGCTGTTATTTAATAGGTCAACATTTTAGTTTATAGAATGAGAGATTGCAGCCACATGGTGGTGGCTCACACCTTTGATCCCAGCACTCAGGAGGCAGAGGCAGGATGATCTTTGAGTTCAAGGACAGCTTGGTCTACAAAATAAGTTCCGGGACAGCCAGGGCTACACAGAGTAACCCTGTCTTGAAAAAGGCAACAGCAACAACAAGAAAAAAAAAGAGTTTTAAATATAGATGAACTCTATCTTATTAATGTTTTGTGATACTTTACATCTTACTTAACAAATTACATCCTAATACATTCAGGTAGTAGGGACTTAGTGACTTAGTTTCTGTGCTAGGAACCAAAAGGCATCTTAGTGCATGAGGTGGAGACTTCACTGCAAAAACTCTTCTGTTGCTGTTTAGTGTAAAAGCATATGAACCACCAGGAATTAATACTGATAGATAAGTCTTAAGGTTGTTTCTTTTAAAAGAATAGTCTTGGTTGACTTATAAAATTATGTACAATAGGAAAATTATTTGATAGGGAATGTGTTGTCAGGATTATATATGGCACTGTCTTAAGGCAGATCTCCAATGGCCTGAGGAAGGCTTGGTCAGCATCTTTGAACTGACCCTTAGATATCACAGTACGGTTTTGTTGGTTTTTTTGTTTTCAGTCTTTGGATGTTTTCTTGTCCTTGATGTGAACAGGAAACTCCTCTCTTCAGAGCAGCTGAAAGCCTCCTTGGTGCCCATCTTCTTTCTGACCCAGGTTCACAGTATCTTCTCACAAGCCACCTCTGTTGTGTGTGTCCTTGTTTCCTGGAAGTCTTTCCACATTCATGGAGCCTGTCCTGGAAGGTCTTTTTTCTCTGATACACACATGACTTTAGAATTGTTTGAAAATGCATTAATGATGCTTCTTCCTGTGTCATCTTGAAGGCACATATTCTGCACATTCTGCAGTATCTATACTGCACTAGTACTGGTCTTCTGTCTCACCTCTCTAAGTACTGGGCTATAATTGGCCAGGCTTTCCTGACTGCATACACTGTAAAACTAAACACAAGTCCAGCAGATCCTGGACTGCCTCATGCTGGTGTTTTAACATTCTCACATTATGAAAAGTGAAGATTCGCCGGGCGGTGGTGGCGCACACCTTTAATCCCAGCACTTGGGAGGCAGAGGTAGGCGGATCTTTGTGAATTCAAGGCCAGCCTGGACTACAGAGTGAGTTCCAGGAAAGGCACAAAGCTACATAGAGAAACCCTGTAAAAAAAAAAAAAAAAAAAAAAAAAAAAAGAAAGAAAGAAAAAAGAAAAGAAAAGTGAAGATTCATTTTAGATTGTTATAAAGAATAATTTTATTTAAATATCTGTTGGCATTCTAGAACTCATTCATAGAAAAACAGTGACATTTTGTTAACACTATTCTTTTTTTAAAAAAATATAAATATTAAAACATATTAAAGCATATATATACCAGACTCAAAGCCCATCCAACAATGCCCTTTTCTCCAGCTGGGGTCCAGTACTGTCTGCCTCTTGAGTTAGTAGTATTCGCTCTAGAAAGAAAGTTGAATTCCAAAATTTTTATTTATTTAATACTTAGAATCATCCTTCCACAGAACTAGTCTATTAAGGGAAGCTAAATGCATATATTGATTTGAAGGAAGGCAGAATATATGTGTGTATATATATTACAGAGTAGTTTCAACAAGAGATAGGACTATTGTCGATAATCTGAAGGCCTGGGTCGAGTTTGCCTCAAGGCCACTGCCTGCCTTGCACATGGCTGCCTCTTACTTCCTGTCATCTTTCTTCACCAGCTGCTGACCTCTCTCATTATATCTAAATTATAAAGATAACCATCAAATTTGGTTATAGTCTACCTTAATGACCTCATTTTAACTCAATCATCTTTAAAGTTTCTGTCTCTAGAACATTCTAAGGTAGTGTGGCTGGTGGCTAGAAGGGGTAATGACATGATACAGCCCTGGCACTTAGGAGGAACTTGTTTTAATCTTTTACTCATTTTTACCACGAGTAAAGTGTCCTCTTAACAGACTTGGACATCTCAGGCCATTGTTCTTGTGTTTGTGGAAAGCATTTTAATTATAAATTATATAATAGATGAGACTTATATAGACCATCATTCTTAACCCAGGGGCAGCTCTGCCTCTCCATGTGGTATTGTCCTGCCTTCTTGCTGCCAATCACTGATGCTTGAGTGGGCCTTGACCTCCTTGTTGTTACTACACTGGGATGAAAAGCCTTCTCTGGAAATCTTCGTATACAATTTGGGGTTCCTTTTTGGGATAAATTCCTTTAAGGAGGTGCATTCTCTTCAGTGGTAGAATACAGATTCCCCGTCGGGACACCAAAGACACATCTGTTTCTGTGTCAGTTTAAAGAGAACATTTTCCCGCCCTCTCGCCCAGTCCCTCAGGCTGTCCTGATTATCTGGAAGCCATTACTGGAGGGGAAGGACAAAGGTCTGGTGAGAAAGTGCTCCCTCTGGGAGCAAGAGCAGCTGGGATTGCTGAGGAGTGGAGCCTGGCCTCTGGTAGGAATGTGGCAAGACTCAAGGAAACTGCTGTCTGCGTTACTCCCTTTTGGCATCCTTAAGTAGCAAACCGCTTCGTATTTTAATAGAGTCGAGAGTGATGGAAGCACTGTGATAATAATTAGATTAAGATGCTTTATGATTGTGTTTTTAATTCTCAAAAACATCTTTAATCTTTTTTTATAGATAACATATTTGCAATAAAATCCTGGGCCAAAAGAAAATTTGGGTTTGAAGAAAATAAAATTGATAAGAACTTTGGAATTCCAGAAGACTTTGACTACATAGACTAAAATGTTTGGGAGAAAGGATTTGTGTGCTTATGAATCGTCAAATCTTAAACATTCTCTAACTATTGGTACCAAATTTTCATTTGTCTGTTAACCGTTTATCGTTTTACAATTTTAAATAAAGTATAAAATAAGAATGTTCTTCGCCCCTTTTTGGTAACCTTATTCCACATTGTGCTCGTTAAAGTGTCGTTAAAGCAGGCAATGCAAGCAAAGCCACCACCAGTCAAGTCGCTGTGCAGCTTTCTTAGCAAAGCCATGGCATGATGGAGTTTTTAAGTTGTATTCAGATATTAAATACTGAATGAATTTGAATGCCCTGTTACAAACACACAAGTCCAAATCTCAGTACTCGGTGGAAATGTATGTGATTGACATTCAGTCTGCTGTATCATCTTTGCAAACTGCAAACCAGAAAGTACAGCAAATTGTTGTCCTTCAATCTTCAATCTAGAATTATATTACAATTCCTCCGACACGGAGACTGCGTTGTTCTAATGTTTGGTACCTTTCTGCTGGAAAGAACAAGCCCATGGCCAACTGTCTTGATTTATGTCCTTTCAGAACATGAAATATGTATGTTCCTTAGAGCACACACATAATCATGTGAGTGCCTGCCCCCACCCTAGCTAGAAAGAAAGAAAGGAAGGAGGGAGGGAGAGGGAGAGAGGGAGAGAGGGAGAGAGAGAGAGAGAGAGAGAGAGAGAGAGAGAGAGAG